CCCCCCCCCCCCGCCCAGGTGTCCGATGTCTGGCCTCACCTGGAGTCCGGGCCGGCTTCTCGCTCCCAGCCGCAGGAGCTCCGGAGGCCCCCACAAGCGCTGCCCCGCCTCAGCCGGGACCCTGCCGGGGGGCGTCGGGCAAAGTAGCAGAAAGCCCCGCCAGCTCCGGTGTAGAAGCTAGCGGGGGGCGCCGAGGAAACCAGCCCCGGAGCGGAGTTTCCTGACGCGCGTTGCGAGGCCTTCGGAGTGAGAGAGACGCGGGTCCCACTTCCGAACGGAGCCCCAAAGCAAGAGGGCAGCAGGAGGCCCTTCGGGGGGGAAGCGGGCCTGAGGCAGCCACGGGGCAGGGCCAGGTCCTGGACGGGCCGGGCCGAAGCGCAGCCGGCGGAGAGGCTTCCAGGCGGCCCCTGCCCGGGTCCGCCCCAGGGCTTTGACCCGGGGACGCTGCCTGGGGATAGGACCGTCTGAACCCGGCCTCTTTCGTGAACGGGACAAACGAGGGGCAGGAAACGGTGCGGAGGCGAGTTCGCACATTGCCCGAGCCCGGGTGCGAGGGGGGCTCCCTCGGCAGGGGCTGCAACCGTCGCCCGAACGCCCCCCTGGCAGCGGACTGCGGCCTAAGGCCGGCCGGGGGATCGTGACTGCCCCCCGCGGCCTCCCCGAGAAGCGAGGCCGGCCCGTCGGGAGGTCCCGGGCGGCGGCGCGGCCCCTTTAAGAGCGCAGCGCGGGAAAAGCGGGGGCGGGGCTTAGCCGGCCCGCGAAAGTGGCCACTTTGTATCCGCAGCAGCAGCAGCATCGGCGGGCGAGATGGCGCAGCTCCGCCTGACCCGCTTCTTCCTGCAGAGCAAGGCCGGCCGGGAGCGGCAGCGGGGCGCCAAGCGGCGGAAAGGGGCGGCGGGGGAGCCGGACGGCGACTGGGCCGGCCCCGCTGAGCAGAAGCCGCGGCTGGGTCCGCCCGGGACTCCGCTCGCCTCCGCACCCCCGCCGGCCGGGCCGCCCAGCAGGAAGAGGCGCCGCTCGGAGCCCGAGCTGGAAGCGGAGCGGAGCCCCGTCGCCCCGCATCGCCGCCCGCCCAAAGGGGGCGCCAGGAAGAGGCTGCTGATGCCCCCGGAGGAGGAGGCGGCGGTGAGTGTCGGTGCCCCCCCCCCGGCCCCCGCGTGGCTCCTCTTCTCCCAGGCGGCCTCGATCCGGATTGACGGCCTGCCGGCTCGCTGCCAGGTCAGAGCCGCTGTGGGCGTCCGAGCCCCGGTCTGGGTTGGACGGAGCCTCCTCCCCGCGACCCGGTCCGGCTGGGCTGGGCTGGGGGGCCGCTTGGTCTCCTCCACGTGTTGCTCTGATGCTGCTCCGTTTTCCGATGCCCGGTCGTGTGAAGGGAACTCCGGATAATGCCAGGCTGCCCAAGTTTTCCAGGCTGCCTGTTCTTGCTCGCTAATTTGTATTTATTAATTAAAGAAATCCCCTCTACAAAGGGACCCCGGGCATGAGCCAGGTTCCCTTGAGTGCCAGGGCCTTGTGCGTGCGTGCGTGCGTGCGTGTGTGTATGTGAAAGAGAGACCTCCAAGGGTTGACTGAGGCTCTGCTCTGCTTCTGTTTCAGGTCTCTGCCTGCCCCTCATCCACAGCAGCTCTGGCGCCCGCCAGGCCCCCCTCCCTGGATAAGGAAGCCAAGGAGCTGGTGAACGAGATTCTCTCACCTGGCTTGAAGTTGGGGGGGACCTCCGGGACTGTGGCTGGTCCAGAGGAGAAGGTGAGGGAGGGCAGGGCTGGCCGGGGAATCCTGGGAGTTCAGGGGGCTTAAAAGTTGCCAAAATCGGACACCCCTGCATTGCAGACTCGACCTGGCCTAAAAATCATCAGTGCCAATCTCCCTGTCTTTGTGCCCTGGCCAGCCTCCCTTGCTCTCCCCCCCCCCTAATGCACCTTCGACCCTTGCCTTTTCCCTGAGGCGGGGGTTTTGCAAAGGGGCGGGGGGCACTGCTTCATTCTTGAATCCCAGCCCAGCAAAACGGGAGGAGGGGGCGGCCAGCCTTGCTGAGATCTCCCCCCTCTGCGCAGGATGCACCCCAAAAGCAGCTCCTGGAGCTGAAGGGCCGTCTGGGCAAGATCCACAGCCTGGTGCAGAAGATCAAGGGCGGAAGTGCCAACCTGGAATCTGGTGGCGACCTAAAGGGCCGACTGGAACGGGCCCGGCTGCTGGAATCCCGGATCCGCCAGAGGAAGCTCTCCCCACAAGAGGGGAGGAAGGACCCGGCACCCACAGCAGAGACCAGGTGGGGAGAGGGCTCTGCCCATCCTGAAGCAGAGGTGGGGGGGGGGGGGGGGGCTGGTCGCTGGCACGACTGGCTCCCCTGAGAGCCGGTCTGGTTCAGCCGGCTGGACCGAGAAGCCCACCGTTTGAAGCCTCTCTCCCCCTCCTGGCTTAGTGAGAAGGCGCCGGCCTATCAGCGCTTCCACACCCTCGCCCAAGATGTGCCCCCCGGTCTGCTCCTGCCGTACAAATACAAGGTGCTGGCCGAGATGTTCCGCAGCACCGACACCATCGTGGCCATGATGTTCAACCGCTTGGAAGCAGTCACCTTTGCCAAGGTCAAGCAGGGCGTGCAGGAGATGACACGCAAGTGAGTTTATTTTTCAGGTGCTGGATTGGAGACCTCTGGGCACCCCTTTAGACCCAGGGCCTCCAACCTTGGCACCTTGAAGACTGGTGGACTTCAATCCCCAGAATTCCTCCTCCAGTCATGTTAGCTCAGGAATTATGGGGGTTGAAGTCCACCAGTCTTCAAGTGGTGAAGGTTGGACACCCGTTTAGACCCAAGACTGGAGCTTTGAGGACGCGGCTTCTCATCCACGCAGGGCTCGCTCTGGGCCTGGTCGTCATTTTCTGGAAAGCGAATGTTGCCCACTAACCCGCTTCCTGCCCTGTAGGCGCTTTGAAGAACGGCACTTGGGGCAGATAAAGACGGTGTACCCAGGTTCTTACATCCTGCGCCAAGAGAGAAACATCCCTACCTTTGGTGGACCGGGAAAGCAGGGCGCCTACCAGCTGACGATCGAGCCAGAGGTGGGAACAGGTGGGTCTGGGCAGGCGGCCACCTGCTTTCACAAGCGCTTTGTGTGAGCTCAGCCTTGGTGTTTGTCTGCAGGGGCGTCTGGCCTCTTTCCTCCAGCAAGAAAGCTCTTTTTGCGGTTTCCCGTCAAGAAACGAGGACCTGGTGATGCCCATCTGGATGCCACTTCGCTTCCCTAAAGTGTGTGGGGGGTGTTGCGGTGGGGGGCTGAGATGGGAGGGGGCACCGATTCCTCCTCTCTCCCCCAGGGGAGAAACTGACCGCATCCCGGCTGATGGAGCGTCGGAGCATCTTCTGCAAGAACTTGACGGCCAGGGTCAAGGAGCACCACAAGGCAAGCACTTCTGGGGGGCGGGCAGCTTGGCACCCTCCCCCACCGGCAGGGCAGGAAGGTGGCATTTCCCATTTCGTGAGACGTGTGCTTGGCCTCCCCTAGGCGTTCCTGGCTTCTCTGGACCCTCCGATGGCGATAGCAGAGGATGAGCTAACCCGCTGGCACCCTCGCTTCCCGGTAGACGAAGTGCCCGAGATCGTGCCCGCCGAGCTGCCCCAGCCTCCCCACGTGGACAGGGTCACCACCGCGCAGGAGGTGCTGGCCAAGGCCCAAGGCATGCTGACGCCCAAGGTACAGCCTGGGCGGGTTGCTCTGCACACCACAAGCCTGTGCAGAGGGTTTTTAGCCAGAGCGCCTGCCTTTTCGCCTATCCCCAAACAGATGGAAAAGGCCTTGACCAACCTGGTCCTACGGACGGCAGGCAGCAGCAGCAGCCCCCCCACCCCGCAGCCTCCTCGCCCAGCTCTGCCCGGAACCCCCAACAGCCTGAGAGGCGTCTCGCAGTCCTTGGTGGAAAGGGTGAGTTTACCCCCCCTCAAACGGTGGCTGCTGCCCAATCGGGGCACTGCCCTCTTCCCTGGGTGCACCTCTGACAACCAGCCTGCAATAATACCTTCCGCTAAGCCGGGGGATTCTGGGAGTTGAAGTCCAGACGTCTTGCCAGAGTTGGGGAAACCTGCTGTACAGCAGGCTAGCCTGGCGCCAGATGCCCACGGTTGGAATTCCAGCCACGGTGCCAAAGACCGCCCCTTACCCACCACCTCTCTCCCCAGGTCAGGGCCAAGGAGGCTCAGAAGCTGCAGGCGCTGATGACACGGAACCCTCAGCAGGAGCAGCGCCTGGCGATGCTGGGCCGCCTGCCGGAGATGGCGCGTATCCTGCGCAACGTCTTTGTGGCCGAAAAGAAGCAGGCCCTCTCCATGGAGCTGGCATGCCAGCGGATGACAGACAGCTACCAGGCGCTCATGCCCACGGGTGAGGCGGGTGGGCGGGCGGCTCTGGGGAAGGGAAGGGAAGGGGCTGCCCACTGTCCTTTGGCAACTAGGCCCAGTTACTCAGCAACCGCAAAGCCCAACCGCCTTTGGCAGCCCAGATGATTTGGCAACCCCAACAGGAAAACCAGCTGAGAAGATCCTGGATTGAGGGTTCTCCTGCCAAGCAACAAGTCCTCCCCAAGGTCTTAAAGAGCTGCGGGTTTCAACTCCCAGAATTCCCCAGGCAGGCAGCCATCTAAGTCCTCAAATCCACAGGTTTTCATCGTCTGCCAGTCACTCACCAGTCTTAGAATTTGCCAGCACTGGACATCCCTGTCCTAAACCATTTAAGGTTTGAGCCGATCGGTCCATCTAAATCTAGCACTGCCATTAGATTTAGTTAGCGCAGCATGATTTCCGGTCGGTTTCAAAAGATTCACCTGGAAACCACAGGCCAGAAATTTGATCTGCGGAAGAACTGCTTGTCCTGCTGAACGGAGATTCCGGTCCTTCCCCTGGGAAGGGGGCCTGGAGCCCCTCACCCTCCAGCAACGGCTTCCCTGTGTTTGGGAAGACCCCTGGCCCTCAAACAGGGCCGGCTCCTTATGTCCCCCTTTCCCCCCTGCAGGAGAGATGGAAAAACACCTCCACCTCTTCGCAGAGCTCCTGCCGGACTGGGTGCGCATCCTGCCCATTCGCCAAGAGAATTACCTGAAGCTGGACAAGGCCATGGACCTCAATATCGTAACCGAGAGGCTAACTGCGAGAAAGCGGGAAGAGGAGAGGCTCTGATTTGAAGTGGGGGGGTGGGAGACGCCCAGAAAATGGACTTCGGGGGGGGGGGGGAGCAGACGCCTGCTGCGTCTTCTACATAGAAAGAGGGGAGTGGGCTTCCTGTCCAATGGAAAACCCACAAGCTTTTGGGCAGCGCCATGACGGAGGGTGGGCATTATTACGCAATTCAACCGCTTTTTTAAAGGCACAAAACATTTTTTGTCTCTTGGGCAGTTGGGAAAAGGTGTGGCTGCTTTTCCCAGGAAGGGTGGGGGGGAGGTTGGAGTCCCACATCCTGTCCATGAGTTGAGAGCAAGGAGGAATACTCTGGGTTTTTTCTTTTTCTTTTAAAGAAAGGCTTGTTCTGTCTTGAAATGTGATTTGCATACGAAACTTGGCATTAAACTCCACTTACTTGAAGCTGGCCAAGCACATCTCTGCCCCCCCCCTCCCCTCCCTAAGTGCAAACAGAAGCTCAAGGCTGCTTGCAAAACGCTCCTAAATGGCCGGTGCCCCTTGAGCGGTTCTGCCGAGGCCCTCGGCATGCCCGACCCCCTGAACAGCAGGCCTGTGAGGCAGAGGGCTTCAAGAAACCCCACCGGGGCCAGGTATAAGAAGAGCAGTGCGTCTTTAATAGCGAATAGTTTTACAGAAGTGTTCATTCCTTCCAGCTGACGTCTAGGGTAGAGTGAGGAGGAGCCACAAAATACAACCCTCCCCTTGCAGGGCAGCTAGGAAAAAGCACCTCCTTCCCTAGTAAGTAATCCAAACTATGCAGGCGGACACACAGAGTCTCTACTACAGCTGGCCTAATCGAAGTGGGAATGCCAGGAACATTCGCTCGACTGAACTCAAATCTGGGGCATTAAGAGTGAAGTCAACATGGTTTTGTGGCTGGGTTGCTTAAGGCCCACTCAGCCAACTGGCTTTCTGCAGGCCGCGGGCCCATCCTTCTCTGGAACACATCCACACGCGCTCCAGCTACAACCAGCGGGGCTATATTGCCAAAGACCTCTGCCTGCCCTTGGTGTAGGTTCCAAATCGTACTTGGAAGTACTCGGTGCGCCGTTTCACCATGTAAGGAACCACACTCAGCACTTTCCGGATTGCTCAAGGTTTGGCCAGCATGCAAAGAAGTTGCACCCCGACCCCCCCTTGGGAAGTTTAGGATTTGGAAATTGGAGGGTGGAGGAGGGGAGTTGCAGGGAGGACTAACTCCAGGCCTCAGTGGAATTGCAAGAGCGAGTAGAGGGGGAAGGGCTTCAGGGCTTCTACACCTTTGAGGAAGCTCAGCTCGATCAGCACCAGGCAGTCCAAGATGTCGGCCTGCAGCTTTGTCATCAGCTCGCAGGCGGCTCTCATGGTACCTAGGAGGGAGAGGAGCTGTTAGGGGGCCGAGAGGACAACGGGGCAAATGTGATGATCCATTCAGGTCCCGCCTTTCCTTCAAGAGCGCGACATCTCTCCGCCCCCAGTTCCCCACCTCTGCCAGGCTACCACCTGGGACGCCAATCACGGTGGCGATGTGGCCTCTGGGTTAGGTGCCATCCTCCTCTCCCTACCAGTTGTGGGGGTGGGACTCGGAGGAATGGATCCTGCCCTCCTTTGTGGGCTTGCAAGAGGCAGACGATGGCCATATGAGGAGAGAAGGCTGGAAGTGTTAGCCTCCCGTTTGATCCTTTGCCGTTCTTAAGCAGCAGAAACAATATGGCTGAACACGCCTCGCCAAGACCCGCTTTTGGGGTGGGGCTATAAAAATGGAACTTTTAAAAAAGAGGTGGTAAATTCCACGCTAAACCACAGCCTGAATTCACCGTCCCCACCTCTTCTTCCTTTACAGTTGAGTTCACTTGTGCACTCTGGGGAAATCCCTGAATTTCCCCCCAGGCCCCCCTGTCCCTGCCCAGCACATGGCACAGCGTGTCCTGCGACAGCAGAAGTTGCAAAGAATCTCGAAACAATGTCCTGGGTGTTGCAAGAAGCTAGCAATCATTTACCTCCCGTTGCCAGCAGATCATCAACTATGATGACTTTCTGTCCTGGCTCCACCGCGTCCTTCTGGACTTCCAGTTCCGCCTGCAGGGAGGAGGAGAACAAACGGCCTTTTACCTTAATCCTGCAGGTTGCCCTTGGCAGGCCAGCCAAAAGCCACGAACAGTTGGAAGGGACCTTGGAGGTCCTCTAGTCCAACCCCCTTCATAAGCAGACCACCTAAATACCGGTTCAGTCATGTGGTTATCCAATCTCTTCTTTAAAGCCACCAGTGTCGGAGCACCCACAACTTCGGTACAGCTTTGTCGGAGCTGCACAAACTCACCTTGCCGTATTCCAGCGCATAGGACATGGATTCAGTGGCTCCCGGGAGCTTCCCTTTCTTGCGGATGAGCAGGAATCCAACCCCCAACCTCTGGGCCAAAACTGGCCCAAAGAGGAAGCCACGGGAATCGAGGCCTGGCATAACAGAGCAAAGGAGGGTCAGCCCAGAGGGCAAGAAGGGGGTCTTTACAAGCAGCAGGTGAGGAACCACACCTGGGCCGGAGTGGAGGCAGTCAAGCACACCACCGGCTTTCCATAAAAAAACTTTGCACAATTAGGAGAAACCAGAAGTTCCAACTTTCTTTGGAGCAGACAAGAAAGTTATAGGGTTGGTGAGCTTCTCCAAAGATGACAGAACAGCGCATTATGCCACCAGCAACCAAAGCTAAGAAGGCACTGAGCTACTATGGCTCTGAGAGGTAGCTGTCGCCCAATTGCTGGAAGAGGGAAGGCAGGACGCCAGGTGCTGGGCTCTTCCCAGAGGGGACAAGGGGCCTCCTCGGCCTTTATCCATTGTGGCCCACCCCAAAGCTCCCCACCTGAGGCTGCAACCTCTCTGTGACTCACCTGCGATGTAGTCGATGTTCTTGTGGGAGGCTGTGATGTAGGACTCCAGCAGGTCGATCGCTGCTTTGAATGCCACGGGGTCCTTCAACATGGGGCTGATGTCCCTGGGGAGGGAGAAGGAAAGGATGGGGAGGGGCGCCCCAAGGCTGGAAGGGGCCCCTTCCTCAGGGAATCCCCTTGGGGCACTTTTCTACCCTTCCAGGGGGGTGGGGGGGTGGCAGGGGGAGGGGAGGGCCTGCTTTCATAGGGGGCTGCCTTGCCTCTGCTTGGCTTTCCGAGGTGGGGATGCAACCTGGGCCCGAGTCTTCCAGGAGTTCCTTTCACCCCCGAGTTTGCTCTTCCCGGACACGGGGAGCCCCGTCGCTCTGGAAGGGGCCGCCAAGAGGCTCGGGCTACGGCGACCGAGAGACCCATCGTCCCCTCCAACACGCGCCGCGGCGGCTCCCAAAGAGCTCGGGAGGCGGGACGGCGAAGAGGGGGTGAGCGGCAGCGGAGGGGGTTTCCCCTCCCGGGGAGGCGGCGGGGGAGCCCCACTTTCGGATCCCGCCCAGGGCGCCTTGCAACCAGGTGCGCTCCGCGGGCCCGATTCCCCTGCGGTGGAGCCGGCCCGGGCCAGGGGCATTTCAGGCGCTCGGGCGGCTTCGCCGGCTCTGCCCCAACGCCGCGCCGGAGGGCAGCGAAGGGGAGGCCCCCGCCCCCTTACCGGAAAAGGACCCCGGGCGACGGAAAGTCCGGGAAATCCCGAATCCGCTGGCGGATCAAGCGCCGCTTCTGCTCGTCCTCGGAGCTCATGGCGAAAAGGGTTCCTCCTTCTCCGCAGGAGCAACTGGCATGCGCAGGGAGGAACCACCGCGCTGGAGCGGGGGAGGCCGGGAGAGGCCGGGGGAGAGGGGGAGGGCGGGCTTCCCGGGCCGAGCGGAGGATCTGCAGCCGCCCCCCCCTCGCAGGGACAGGGTCGGCCCTTCCGGGAAGCCCCCGCCCCCCAGGGTCTGTGCCAAGCGGGGCTGCGGCCCTCCCTCCCTCCCTTCCCCTCCCAGGTGGGACAGAGAACCGCCTCGCCGAAGGTAAATCCCTCCCTGCCCGGGAATCTCAGCTCTGCTGGCTGGAGAATTCTGGGAGTTGAAGTCCACAAGTGGCCGAGCTCGGAGGCCTCTGTTGTAGCAGGGAGAGCAAGGAGCGCTGGACATCTGCCCCGCAGGCGCTTTTCCAAAAGGCCTTTTTCCCCCCCTTTGGAAAGGTTTTGCTTCTCACTCCGTTCTTGGACGAGAAGCGAAAGGCTTTCGAAGGAAAAGCAACCCAGGAAGTCCGGTTGCCTTTTGGAGGAAGCGCCTTGGGGACACCCTGGCCTGGAGGAGGGAGAACCTCCCTAGAGGCGGCGGCCTCGGCCTTTGCTCCCATCCCGGAGGGACCCCTCAAGCGCGCAGGGCCAAAGTCCCGGTTTCAAAGCAGGGCCTCCTAGCCCCCCCGTCCCTTTCTTGGGGCAACCCCCCCCCCACCAAAAGACACAACCACAGCACTCAAATATACAAGCTGCCTTCATTTCTTACAAATGCTCAGCAGTATTAAAAATTGGCTTCCAGAGATACAAAACTAACTCATTTTTCCAAAAAAAAAAAAAAGAAAGAAAAAGTCACAGTAAGCTCCTTCATGTGAGGATTTGGCACTTCCCGAAAAGCAGCGGGGTTCCGAGAACGGAGCGGCTGTATCTTGAAAAGGCTGTTTGGCTACCGACCCCAAGATCCTCTTCCCCTGGAGCCCGCTTGGGGCAGGGCGTTTCCCCGAAGGAGACCCTGAGGCTTGCGAGGGTATCAAGCATTTCCCCGGTTTCCGGAGAGTCTCACTTCCAGAGAGAGATGCAAGTCGCCCCAGTTCGAAGTCCGAAGCGACCCTGGGATGCTTCCTTCCGCACAAGCAGCCGCAGCAGTCGCCAGAGTCACCTTCCCCAGGGTGGGGTGGGGGCAACAGTTGCTGGACAGCCGGTTGCCAAGGCCAGTTGCCCTCCTCAGTGAGGCCAGAAGCATTTCTTTGGGTCAGGAGGGGGCGCTTTCAAACACTTGCCCAGCTTCTCACAGCCCGGAGGAGCCCAGTTCTGCAAGAGAGAGAGAGAGAGAGAGTCAGAGCTCACCCCCACATCCCTGGGGAAGCCAGGGCTCTTGTCTCTCTGCTTCCTCAATAGCGGCACCACCGCCGTTGGAAGCGGAGCCTCTGGAACCCTTGCAAAGCCGGGGTGGGGCGGCGGCTCCCCTCCCCCGCTGTGAGGACCCCCCACCCACCCAGATTCAGCTTCTGCATGGACAATGCTGCAAGCATCTGTGCCGGTTGTGGCTGATGGATCCTCCCCCTGGATGAGAACAGCCACGCCAGGTGTCCCCACAGCCATTCAGCACAGGCCAAACTAGAGAGGGGGGCCCTCTACAGGCCTCTCCCCCCCCCCCCCCCCCCCCCCCCCCCCCGCCTTCCTGAGTGAGAAGCCGGATTTCAAGGAACCAAGAAAGGAGCCCAGCTGAGCCACGGAACCTTCGAAAGAGACTGGACAGCCCTTTGACCAGGGAGGTGTAAGATCTCCTCCCCTGAGCAGGGGGTTGGACTGGAAGACCTCTTGAGGTCCCTTCCAGCCCCCTGATCCCATGCTCTAGGCTCTATTTCAGAGGTCTCCAACCTTGGCCACTTTAAGACTTGGGGACTTCAACTCCCAGAATCTCTCAGCCACCTTTGCTTTGCTGGCTGGGGAATTCTGGGACTTGAAGTCCATAAATTCTACAGTTGCCAAGTTGAGGACCCGGCTTCTGTTGTGCAGCTGAGGTCTTTTGTACGCAGCTGTTCCTTAGGCAGGGCCTTTTTGCACCTTTTTGTGTAACCTGTACAACACGATACCCGAGGCCCTTGGCCGATGCACCAATCGTTTTGCACACGGGTTTGTGGAGCTTCTCCCAGGAGCCCCGGAGAAGCCAAGCCGGCAGCCTTGGGAGGGCAGGGGTGAGGCCCATAAGAACTTGTGTGTGTGTGTGTGTGTGTGAATGAGAGGTTTGATGGATTAGTCTGGCAACTGATGGATTGGAAGGCATTTACATAGCCTGAGGCTTGCTGGAACCGGCTCCCGTTCTGCAGGGCAGGAGCCGTGCCAGGAGGGGCAGGACGGAGGCTCTTCAGGCTTCCAAGAAGGGGGTGCTCCTTCCTGGGGGGTGGGAGGGGGGAGAGTGGTCGGGAGAGGGAGGGTATCCAGCCACTGGAGTGATGGGGGTGGGCGGCGTGTCCCATGCGCCAGGGCTAAAAACCATGGAAGTCCTTCCTACCACTCAGGAGGAGGAGGAGGAGGAGGAGGAGGAGGAGGAGGAGGCTTGGCCCAAGCCAGCTGCCGACTCTAGGAGAAAGGGTGGCCCACCCACCCCAGCAAAGTCCTTTGCTCCTTCCGAGCCCTCTCTCTTCCCCTTTGTGAAGCGGCCCCTCCCTCTTAAAACTCACCCCGGCAAAAAGGGCCTCCCCCCCCCCCCCCCCCAGAGCCAACTCTCCCCCCATCGAAAGCGAACGGGGCCCGGACTGCCAGTCAGCCCGGCGGGTGTCCCCACTTCCCTGCCAACCTGTGCCACCTTCCCCTTCCCTTTCCCCGCCCGCTTCCATCTGCTACACAGCGATCACAGCGCCTTCTTCTCTCCCAGTTCCCCACCCAGCCGTGGGTGGACAAAGCCGGCTGTCAGTGGCTGGAGGGTCGCCCTCCCCCGCCCGGTCCTGCTGGCCTTCCTTTTGGGGCTTTTGCCGAGAGGGCGAAGGAGAGAGCGCCTGCCTGAGCCTCTCCTGGAGCTCTGAATTCTGCACAGCCGACACCAGGGGGCAGTGATGCCCAGCCAGAAGAGCAGGAGGCCCTGGGAAGCCTGCCCCCCCCCCCCCAAACAAAATCTCTCTGGGCAGCTTAGAGGACAATTAACGGGGCTTTCAAAGCCCACTTCCCACTCCCGAAATGCTGAAGGGAGGAAACAGTGGGGCAGAAGGCAGTTTCACCCCACTAGGCTCGGCCTCTTAAGAGGGTCACGGAGGAGCCTCCCGTGTCGTCTTGTTGTCCTAAACCACCCTGTGGTTTGTGTGGTTTTGACAGGTTATGTAAAACAAGCCATTGTGGCTTGTGAACTACGGCTTATGGCTTAGCCCCAGGTGAACCCAGGGAATTGTGGTTTATTTATGAAGACATCCTTCCACAAACCTTGGCTTGGGGCCCTGGGTGAGCTAGAATCCCCAGGTGTAAGTGCTGCAGAGGCCAGGTCTCTCTCCTTCTCCTGAGCGCCTGGCATTGCTGCAGCTGGCAAAAGCCTCCCCAGGAGCTCATGCTAAGCGAAACCGATAGAAACAAGGCTGACGGGACTGAAGCCTTTGGCCGCTGAGAGCCGCATTTTCTCACTGGGGCAGAGAGATGTTGTAGGTGCCGTGCAGAAGGCCGGCATGAGCCCGGTCCAGGGAAGTCTAACTGGAGAAGGCCTACACCAGGGGGTTTGTCGCATCTGAGGCCTGAAGCCAAAGCCAGCCTGCAGCAAGGGTAGCTCCAGGCGAGCCGGTCGCCGTAGGGCTACTTCAGTGGGGGCTTCTTCCGGCTGGAAACACACCCGGAACCTGCTGTTTGCTGACGAGAAAACGCCAGGCATTCAGTGCCAGGCCTCCTTTTACGTTTCCCACCGGGCGAGAATGGTCAGGCAGCACAGTCCCACCCACCCCACCGCCACAGGAGAGGCCAAAGGCCACCCTGACCGAGGTCACCCCTATGCAGGGAGATCGTCTGGATGGCCGTCCATCCCCCCCGCCGCCTTGGCAGCCTTTTCCCTGGGCCCACCTGGCCGGAGCAGGCCCACAGCGTCTTCCCCGTGGTCAGCGTACAAAGGGCATCCCTCCTTTTGCAAGGAAGACACGGGGCCTGGCGGTGGGAGAGGAGTTTTGGCCTTGGGAAGCCCGGGACTCAACAGAAACACAGCCCCCACCCCCCACCCCAGACCTCGACCCAGCCCAGGGGCCTGGTGGTTTCGGGCCAGCGTCAAAGGAGATACGCCAGCCCCACCAGGCACAATAGGAGCCGTGGAAGGTCAGGTTGTGTTTGGGTGCCTTACCATGACTGCCTTGTCACAGACGTTCAGCTGAGGCTGCCCTGGGACCAGCGTGGCCTTGTGCTCTTGGACGACGGGAGAGACCCTCTCCAAAACAAACTGGTATTCGGCACTGGCGAAGCTGAAACAGAACCACAGCTGACTCAAAGCGGACCCAAAGGAAGGGAACGCTGACAGGCCTGGCCAGAAACATACACCCTGCTGTAGTCCCAACTGTTTCCTCAGCCACAGGTCGGCTGAGGACACGCTACTACTGGGCAGTCAATCCAGCCAACTGAAGCTTCGTAGAATCCCAGAACTGGATGGGTCCATTTGAGGCCGTCCAGTCTGACCCCCTTTTCAATGCAAGAATCCCAATGAAAGCAACCCCTACAGAGGACTGTTGAGTATTGCCTCGAACGTGTCTCCCTTCTTGCTGGGGATCGTCCGTGGGGGATGGTCCAGGTTTGCCAGGTTTTTAAAAGTCCAAAGCGTTTCTCCTCAGTTGCTTCCTGATCCTTTTCCGTTCAGGATCTCAGAGGCTGAAATGAGAGACTTCTGCCTCCAGAGCAGATCCCCTCCCAGTTCCCGCTCCCTAACAGGGCAGTGGCTCTTGGGGTGATGAACAACCCCCACCCCCATGGGGAAAAAAAAACCTCCCTGGGCCCTGGCTGCTCTAGGCCGAGGGCAAGAGAGTTCGTTGCTAGGGTCCTGTCCTCTACCTTAAGGAGCAGCTCCTCCCTCCTCTTGGACCCCCTTATTTTTATCAGGATTATAAACATTGGCAGGTACTTGTTTAAGTGGATTAACGTCTCCTTTC